TTTCAACAGATCATGGTGATGACCACTGAGGTGGAATCCGAGTGGCAGCTATTTAAGAGCGGCATACTTGAGGCGGCCGCTGAATGTTGCGAATATAAACGGGTTGGGCTGCCGCCTGGAGGTTACGAAAAGATCTTCATGGTGGACACGAGAGATACAACTGGCTCGGAAGCAAAGAGCCATCTACTCGCGTGCGACAGGTCGAGGCACGCAAGGCGGCAGCAAAAGCAGTGGCGAAAGCGAAATCTGATTCCTGGGAAAAGCTCACTGAGGGGTTGGACTCGAATTCCCACATGACAAACAAGGCATTCTCTCAGACCATCCTCCGCTCCGAGATGAAAAGAAGGACAGTCTCAGACCTGATGGACAGGTATGGACACGCTATTACCAAGGATGACGACATTCTTCGGCGATGAAGAGGGTACTTTGAGGTACTCCTTAACCCTTAGCAAATGCAGGAAGACTCGGGTGTAGAGCAGCAGGAAACGGATATTACTATATCTGTAGCTGAAATTGCACAACCAGTGAAAAGCTTGAAAAATGGAAAGGCTTCTGAAATTGATGAAATCCGCCTCGAGATGCTCAAAACGTCAAGGGTACAAGGGATGTGCTGGCTTACACGTGTCTGTCAAACTGCGATGACTACGAGGAAGATACCAGCAGACTAGAAAACGGGAGTTGTTGTACCCCTATTCAAGAAAGGAGACCACAAGGAGTGCTGAAATTTTAGGGGCATGACGTGCTTCAGCCTCCCAGGTAGTCTACGCAAAGGTGTTAGAAAGGAGGTGCCGCGGAATAACTGACTCCATGATACAAGAAGAACAGTGTGGCTTCCGGCCGGTCAAAGCACCTCTGACCATATAAGTAGCCTGCGCCAGATAGTTGAGAAATCGTGGGAGTATGCAAGTCCGGTGTACATGTCTTGCTGACCTAAAAAAGCCTATGACAGGATGACACGCAACAGTCTGTGGTCATGCTTGCGAGCATACGGGATAAATGACCAGCTGCTACGGGCCATCCAATTACTGTATTCTGATAGCAGGTGTTGCGTCAGAATAAATGGCGCTAAGTCGAAACCTTTCAATGTTGGCACTAGTCTACACCAAGGTTGCGTTCTGTCCCCTATCCTGTTTGTGTTGTACAATGGATAGAATAGTCAGAAGCGAGCAAGGCGATGAATGCATCGGTGTAGGAGGTGTGAAGGTGGGAAGGTTGCTGTTTGCAGACGACCTCGCTTTATTGGCATCTTCTGAAAGTGACCTACAGTGCTCCGCAGAAAAGCTCACATCTGAGTGCGAAATGGCCGGAATGCGTGTGAACGCATGTAAAACGAAAAGCCTAGTGCTTCCTCGTTCTCCTGCCCATTGCACTCTTCAGATTAACGGAGACACGATGGAGAAAGTGGAAAAGTTCAAGTACGTAGGAGTTGTATTTACTGGTGATGAAAAATTTGAGGAAGAGATCGACCGGCGAATTGGAATAGCCAGTGGAGTTCAGCGTTCTGCATGAATTAGCCCGAACCATTGCGACTAAATCAGAACTGAGTTTGAAGACTATGCTCTCGGGGTTCAAGTCGATTTTTATCCGTCTGCTTACCTACGGTCATGAATCGTGGA